ACTGTGGAAAGTAATCGTGGCAGGCAGTCTGTGAGTCCAATGAAGAGAATATAAAGTACAAACTGCCTCTAAAATACGGAGTGTAACGAAAACTAAGCTAATTTTGCGGCCACACTGAGGCTGTTGAGCATTAACGCGCACGATACGAGGCCGTGAATAATTGCCACTTGCACCTTAGCAATTAGCCTGGGAGTTATATAAGGATTCTGTGAACTTGTAAACAGTAAAAATAAATGACAAGAACAAAAACCTGACAATCAAACTAAGCGTCTGAACCGAAAATCAACGGACAATAGTCATGACACCAACACCATTCTAGGAAATCTAATGGGAGGAATCTGCTACAGGACTGATTCCTATTGCGATAACATGAATGGGTGAACGCATAAGATGATGTGCAGCAGGGTCCCGATGAGTGCTACAACTGGGGAGTTGGTAAGCGCCAAGATGTGTGGTAGATACCTAGGACTATGGGAAGCGTGGCCGTAAGCATGAAGAGGACAACTGTGCCCCTCAGTGCATTGATAAGCTAGTCGGCTCATGTACGATCATGCGATTCGTGAGGAAGTCAACTTTAAATAAAATGACTAGGCCTAAACATGCAGTTTATAATGAGTCGATCCTTCTGACTGCTCTTAGTGCTGAATAACTAACTTACCTAACTGAATAACTAGATTTAGGTAAATTGCAGTCCAAAAAGTAGTTTACGAACATCACAGCAAGCTCCCAGAATATTGATATAAATTATACAGTTCATAGCAGTAAACATGTGTAAGAACCCACCTCAGACGAGTTTAAGCCCACCGGGAGCCATGTCAGGCCATTCTCAGCAGCTGCATTTTCGGCCGCTTCATACGAAGCTAGCAATGTTGCATCACTCAATTCCAGTTCTTTTATAAATGATTCATTTGAAAAATTCGTCACATCGTGTTTGTCATAAGAGCAATGACATCCAGTGCAAGTGGCCCTTTTTGTTTTAGACAAAAAAATTATCTTACCTCCAAGCATGCAAAGAAAATCCAGGGCATTCAGTCCCACAGGTGAGACACGATTTCCCAATATCCTGTTGAAAAGCCATCCCGACGCCTACAGTTGAGAAGGACGAGCGATAACTAGGCGCGTCGCTATGAGTGTTAAAAACTCGGACAAACCGCCGTCAGCAAACGTTCCCACTCGCCGTGTAAAGTAAAACAAATGACTGACGAGTGGCAGGGGGCAGCAAGCAGAAAAGTATCCAGACAGTAAACCATGAGTACCTTGAGAATGCTAAATGGCTTACCTCTCACAGAATCCTCCGCAGTGTTTGATGCGCGAGCGTTTGAAATGAGTATTGATTGCCTGGATTATTTGGATCCACCCGATCGATAACGCTAGTGCCGCGTAAACCTCAGCATGTTAGGCTTCTAGAATATCACAATGCTGAAATTCAGTTAAAAAAGTGCAATACAAGTAGGCCTATCTAGTTAAATGAAGCCATTAGGGTTTTATAGTCATTTGTGGAGTAAGGTATTTTCTGACTACCTCTGACCATTGGAGTTTATGTTTGGCAGGTTTCTCGAGTGAAATACCTTACGATGTCTTTTTGATTTTCTTAAATTATATAAAATGTGAGAAGGCAAGGTATACACAAACGCTTCAGCAATCCTTCTGCACCAATGTGCATGTAGTTAAGCAGATAGCGCTGTTGTGTAGGTCATTTGAACGGAAGGTATGTTTAATGGAAGTTTAACGGATAAGGGCCAGAAAGCAAAGTAAATGGAGAAGCTCTCTTTCTTGTTTAAGAGACATCGAGACCAGTGAGCAAGGTTCCGATATATGTGAAAAAGCACAAAAGTTGGGTCACGTATTTATTTTTTACGATAGCACAATGTTTGTAACGACAGGGCCCCTTGGGCCTTAAATATACAAATTATTATTATTATATGATTTCTGGATATATCTTAGCCTGGAAGGTACACCATCATAACAATCTGCTTTATTCGCATGCACTCAAATCCTGGACTTTGAAAACAGTCATGGATGGGTCCTTAACGCTTTGCAATCTTCTTAACGGGTGACTAAAACAATGGCTATTATCCCCTGAAGAAATAAACTGCTTTCTGCTTTCTGCTTCAACTTCCGCTCCTCACTGTGTTCCTAAAAAGACTAATGAACTTCACAGTGGATTCTTCTGTCGTGCCATATTCCCTGGGTTTCATTAAGCAGTAAATAAACATCACTGTCTACTCTACCGCGCTTTGCTTTTGTAGTTAAGTCCCTTCCATTTTCTCTTTTAGCTTCGAGGAAAGGTTTCATATTAGCATTCATTCTCATCTATTGGCATTCAGATCTATATTATTGCCTCATCTCTTCTTCCTCCATACTGACGACCTACGATCGCCAAACGAATGTTTGTTTGTTAAATATGCTGATAATATGGTTTTTAGCCATCCTCTCAAAAGTCTGATATATCTCCGAGTACTGAAGAATGGCCTGGACCACATCTCAAAATGATCGTCAGCAAATGGCCTTCTGCTTAACGAGCGGAAGTCAATCCAGTGTATTTTTCGACTGTGACCCTCTCCCGGTCCTGAAACTATTGACATTCGGCCCAACGAGGTATCCTCTTTCCGATAATTTGGTGTTACTCTGGCATCCAACCCTACATTTGCTTTTCATATAGAAGGCCTTGCGTTCATATCGCACACTGCGAGCCCTAATCTGGCGATTTATAGACGCCTACATTCCCACCCCCATTCTTTACTGTTTTCCAGTTATTCTTCCAACTTTACTTAAAAAAGATCTGGTGATTCTTAAAGGTATCCTCCGAATGCTCTCTTCAGCTGTCGGTGTTTCCTGTGTTTTTCTTAGCTGACATTATATTACAGCGCCACTTTAAAACGGTAAAGCAATTTGCTGAGCGCATCCTTAGTGAGGTTGCTCACACTCTCCTCGCTGAACTTGTGGCTGCGAAGTATTCCCGTACAATGCGCCGAGGCTTCCGTCGTATGTCTTGTCGTATATCGGCATATCAGCACTCTGTACTCCCATTCCTAGCAC